TATACTGAGCTGGAGCCAGTTTATCAGCAGCTCGAACTGGCATGGCGGCGGCAACCTTCTGTGATACAGATTTTTCTAAGGCTACCCTTGTCTTTTCTGTTATCTCTTTAATGGCTTCTTCATCAGGTCTTTGCAGGTCTGGGTCATCGGCATTCATGACCTCCTTGGGAACCAGGTCAGTATACTTGCTATAAATGACCTTGTCTTTTGACTGTCCTTGCCGAGCAATTGCATCATATTTAATTTTTCCTTCAGCATCCACTTGAATGGCCAGTGCATTTGACATTTTTTTCTTTTGCCCCATATCCAGCGGATACTGGGCCACATGGATCTCTGGAAAAGCACCTCCATCTCCAAAATCCTCTAATAACCGAGGTATCCAGCCCTTCCGGTACCCGTATGGGGGAGGTTCTCTTCGGGAGGAGACCAGTGAGGTCTGTCGTGATCTCTGGGATCTTGCCTTTTTTTCAGCCTCAAGCTGGTCCTGAGATAGCTGAGTAGGTGCAGGTAAAAAGCTGGTGAGCGCCATCTTCTTCAACTCCTTGGTTTTTAATTAAGGGAATGAACAGTCAAACCCAAAGGTCCACAATCCCACCTCACAAAGTAATGTAATTTCTCTCCACCTTTTCGGGATACATAAGGATTGTTCTCTGGGGAAGCTTAACCAGAAAGACTCTGTGTTCAGGGATATGAGGCCCAGAGGAGGAAGAAGGTGAGCAACAATGATAAAGGGGGAAAGAAGTTAAAGTTATTAGTCTCTAGATTTAAAAACCCATTAAGCATCCAATACAATAAATGAAAAAGATGCACATCGAATTTTATCATTGTGAAACTTCAGAATACAAGGGATAAAGAGAAGATTCTAAAGGTTCCACAAAGAGAAAAAAAGAAAAAAGGATCATACAAGAGATCAAGAATAAAAATGACTCCACCTTCAAGGAATAAAAACTGGAAACCTAAAAAAAAAACAAGGGAATGAGTCTTTAAAAATTCAATAAATATGTTTAAAAAAAGTTTTAGTAAAAAAAAAGGGTTTTGTTTGTTTTTTTTTTTTTACATTTTGTAAAAAAGTTTACATCTAGCCAAGCAATCGAGTAAGTATAATGGTAGCAAAAAAGGCATGTGAGACATACAAAGTCCCCCATAAATGCTTTCTCAGAAAGCCAGCGTACAATATGTTTCACTAGATGAGGAAGTATAACATAAAAGCAGAAGAAAGGGAATCAGGAAACAAGAGAGAAATAAAGGGAATTCCCAGGATGACATCAGGGGAAGTGCTAGGACCATAGCTGTGCAGCAAGCCAAGACTGTGCACCAAACTAGGCTATAGCAAGAAGTCAAGTCTCTGGGGATGTTTCTATGTGGGGGTGATATCTCCAAGAAGATACTAGAATGTATAAATTGTCTGAGAGATTTTACCTTGGAGAAAATTGCTTAGCAAGGCATTTTACAGAACTTTTGTGCAGTTTGGGGAATACAGAGTACTCTCAATACTAAATAAATGAAAAGAAAAGGTAATCATTAACTCCAGGAAAAACTAAAAGTTACAAAAGAATGGAATTATATATAATCACAGTGCTTTACCCAATTTAGCAGTGAACATATTTCAATGATGAGAATATAGAATATTAGTTTAAAATGAGTTCTATTTTATGAAGAAAATGAGGGAAAGGGGGTATAGTTAAAATCTTTATTATTATGGGAAGACAATAGGTAATGTCAAAAACTGACGAGTTGACAGGCAGCAATCTAGGTGTCTTATTTATAAATGAAAAAGTAAACCACAAAAGAAATACTTGTATTGGTTTAATATTACTATCCTTGGGGAACATGACAATGTTGAAGGAACAGGGTGGAGAGAGGGACAAGGGATTATTGTTTCTTGTGATAAACTTTTTGTATTGGTATTAGAAATTAGACTTTCTATTTTCTTATACCATTTGCATAAAAATTAAAATGTTATTTTCCAAAAAAAAGTCCTTACAATAGCTCAAAGGAAAATCACTGAGTTCTGGGGTACCTGGGTAGCTCAGTCAGTAAAGTGTCAGACTCTTGATTTTTAGCTCAGGTTATGATCTCAGGATCATCAGATCAAGCCCTGTGTCAGGCTCTGTGCTCAGTAGGGAGGCAGCTTGAGATTCTCTTTCTCCCACTCTTCTCTCCTTCTGCCTCACCCACTTCACTCACAAAAATAAATAAATAAATCTTTAAATAAAAAAAAAATACTATTATTATTAATTTATTAAGTAAAACCCATAATAATAATACTATTATTATTAACTAATTAATTAAGGCCTAGTTCTTTGGGCTTCTACCAGGCTACAGATGGATTCTAGAGAGCTACAAGTTTGTGTACTTGTATTCATTTCAATAATAATTGAAAATGTATAAGTCTACCCTGGATCACCTGGATAACTGGCATTTGGTGCCATCACTATCATGTGTATATCTATCAACTTAGCTTGAAGTAGTGCTACTCTTTTTTAAGTTTTTATTTCAATTCCAGTTAGTTAACATATAGTGTAATATTAGTTTCAGGTGTATAATATTGTCATTCAGCACTTCCATACAACACCCTTGCTTACCACAAGCACACTCCTTAATTCCCATCACTTATTTAACCCATCCCCCCACCTCCCCTCTGGTAACCATCAGTTTGGTTTCTACCATTAAGAGTCTGTTTCTTGGTTTGCCTCTCTCTTTCTTTCTCTCCCCCCTGCCCTGCTCTGTTCATGTGTTTTGTTTTATAAATTCCACATATGAGTGGAATCATATGTTATTTGTCTTTCACTGACTGACTTATTTCACTGAGCATCATACTTTCTAGCTCCATTCATGTCATTGCAAATAGTAAGATTTCATTTCTTTTTTATGGCTGAGTAATATTCCATTTTTTTTTTTTATATTTTTTTTCTCAGATCTAGGGTTAGGATTAGGGTTAGGGTTATGGCCAGGGTGAGAGTATTCAAGTAGCATTACTTTAATAATAGCAAGAAAGTAAGAAAGAGCTATAAATGATACATTCGTATCAAAGGAAGTCCAGTTGAAATGACAACAGGTAATGTGTATGAAAATTATGTAACCATGTGGATGGACCAAGTGTTGAAGAAATCAAGTCATTTCATAAGGTACACTCTAGAAGAGTGTCATAAACTCAAGAGGACAAGCAGGCAGTACCATATTCATGTTGCAAGTAACAATTTGGGTTCAGCAAATATTATCTGTCACATAAAATTAATGTTCATTTGAATGGTCCATATTTGTTTTGTTGGGCTTTTAAAATAATATATATTTAAAATTTGTATCATATAATAACTATAAGCAGAAGTTTATATCTATTTTTACATTAGTACATATTGATACAATGGATAATATAATAACTTATTTCAATCATGGTAAGTTCTCTTTTTTCCTTTATTAATTTCAACATTAAATTATTCTGCTAATCCATACATTACTTAAATTTGAGAAGAACGGACTTACTTTTTGTATTCACTGAGATATCTAACTATATCTGTTTAATGCACTCCAGTATGCCACCCATTTGTGGCCCTCACCAAGGACACATTAATTTAGAAAGAAGTACTTTTTTCTCTTACCCATTTTAGTTTACCAACCCTATCATCAAATGATGCATATTGTTGGGAACAGTTATCTATATATAACTTATACCTCCCCTGAACTCAGAGAAAGGTATGAGAAAATGTTTGGGGATAGAATATTTTAGTTCTTCTTTACTACTGTAACAATTTACCATGAATCTAGCAGCTTTAAAACAACACAAATTTATTGTTTTACAGTTTTGGGGGTAAGAACTCCACAATGGGTTTCACTGAACTAGAATCAGGTGTCAGCAGAATTGCATTCCTCCTGGAGGATCTAGAGAATAATCCACTTTCTTCCTTCTCCCAGCTTCTAGAAATTTCCCAAATCCCTGTTTCTGGCCCCACATCACTCTGACCTCTTTTGGAGTCCTTTTCTGACTCTGACCCTCCAGCTTCCCTCTTTTATCTTTAAGGACCCGTGTGATTACACAGGGCCCACCCAGATAATTATGGATAATCCCTCATCTCAAGATCCTTGGTTTAATCACATATGCATAGTCTCAATGTCTCTTTCATCTTATAAAGGAACATATTACCAGTTCCTGGGATTAGGATGTGGACATCTCTCTGGTGGCACTATTCTGCATACCACAATGGGTGTCATTATGCCCAGCCAGTCCCAAAAGCAGGAAGTCTGATGGAGGACCCATATTCTCTAGAAACAGAAGAAAAAGGGCATGGATGTAAGGTAAGAGAAAGGGGCATTTTATGGTGAGTGAAGAGAAGGTTCTTTTCCTGAGGAGGATTAAGGAGCAAATTGAAGACATAAGAGGAATGGAAAAACTTGGAAGAGCAGCTGTTGGAAAAGGTTCCAACTCAGGAAGAAAAAGTGACTATCTCCCCAAGGGCTTATCTGCGATGTGAAGGCGGTAACATGCTTAAGGTGTGGGATGTGAGACCAATTACACCAATTACCATGTCTCTGAAGATGCCACCAAACCCAGCCCCAAGACAGCCACCTCCACTAGTATTTCAAACTGTACAAACAAACCGAAGACATCAGAATTCAAGTAGTTCTCCCACCTCCTTTTTGTTATGCCATTGGATTCCCCCCGCCAAGATTCCTATGAGAAATCTGATGCTAATTAGACTTGCATGAGAAGGGGAAAAAAAGAAGATGAATCATGGACCACACTGGAAATAAACTAAGAAAAAAGAAAATGTGATCTCTGCCCAAAAGAACAACAGTGAAAAATTATACTTACAGAGGAGCCTATAGTGAAAATTTAAAATTTTTAAAGGACAAAACATGGAGAGTCTGATATGATCTACCAGCTGCTTCTCTTTCCTCAGATACTTGCCCAGGAGGCAGCTACCGAAAGTTGGGTGTATTTCTCTCTTGCTGTGTCATACACTGTTCCTTTCCTTCCCCACCCCCTCCCTGCTCTCCTGTCGCTTTGGTGCCTGTGAGTGTGTGTCGTTTCTCTCTCCTGTGTAAGAACACAGCTGCCTGCCGGTCTCCGGCTGGCTGTTGCAGCTTCTCTGACTAGCTTTTCGCAGCCTCCTGCCTCTCCTTCTCTTTCCGCTTAGCTCCTTGTCTTCTGGTAAGTGCGACAAACACTCCTCCAAGCCCTGTAAGAAGTTGCAGGGTGCGGTTTGTGGTGTTCGAAACTTGCAACTTTGAGATTGCCCGTGAACTGTAGAAGAACTTTCCATTGTTTTATTTATAATTGAAATGTGTTACTCAGGAAGGATTGTGGGTGATAATCTGCTGGATTCCCCATACAAGTGAAAAATTCTCAGAGAAGGAAAAAAAAGCAATAAAGTGTATTAAGAAGATAAAATTTAGAAATTATTTCTTGCTGTTAATTAATTAATATGGTAAGGAACGATTTAAAAGTAGCGGAATTCTTTGACTTTTTTTTTTCCTTTTTGTTGATTTATCTTGAGGCTACTTTTAGGAATTGAATTGTCTTGTGGTTTACAAAGATTCAGTTATTCTGTTTTAAAGTAAATGTGGGCTATGAGTTTAAAGGATATCCATGGAATTAATATTAAAAACACCATTGACTGTGGCCTCTGAGGAATGAAGAATAAATCAAATACAACCCAACTTTTGCAGTTAGACTAGCCATACTAAAACTCCTGTGGAAAGTCAGTTTTAAATTCATTGCTTTGAAGTTGGGGTTGACTTTAGATTTTATTCCATCCTCAGAAGCCTCCCTAACACTTTAAAACCCACATATGTATTTAAACCAGTACATGTTTACTGCTTTTAGTTTTGATTTTAAAAGGATTCTCTTCCCTTGATTTGCAAAGAAGAAGGGCTAAATGCCATGGCTCCTTTTAGAAGAGCTTAAAATAACTTCTGGCTGGACAGCAGGTGCCATGTATCTTTCTCCGATTTAGGGGAGGGTAAGTTATATATAGATGAGTGTACCCAACAAGTAGGGGTCAGGATAAAGAAATGCCAGTGATGGAAACAATAAGGCTGTTTACTGCATCATTTAATCATAAAGTTGGTGCATTCAAGTGGGCAAGAGAAAAAAGTACTTCCTTCAAAGTGAATGAGTACTTAAGTGGGCGGCCTAGGACTGTAGGTTGAATTTTCCGTTCTTGTTGGAGTCCAAGCACTTGACAGCCCCTGCCCTGAGAACAAAAGAGGAAGCTGTGCAGTATGGGGAACAGTATGGTTTTGTTTTTCCTCTCAGGCCACCACAACAGCAAAACCTGTGCATTATGAGAACCCCGTCATATTTTTATGCTGTTAATTAGCAGCATGACCGTTAAGCACCATTTACAAATAAAATGCACCATCACTTAAAGGCCTAAGTCAACTCTACTGCAACCCGAGAAATGAAGATAGCCAGAAATCCTGGAATTCTTTGACTCAGCTTGGACTTCAGCCCCTATTTCCAAAGAGGACATATTATATATGGATTATTTCTCAAGTTCATTCCCTCCTTATTCATTAAACATTGCTATTTCTTAAAAATTACAAAGTTATCCTGGAGCTTCTTGACTGAGAAAAAAAGAGTTGTAATCATTTTCTTTTCCTAAAGAAATTCCGTTTTTATATTGGAACAAAGAAGTATTATAGAAATTCAATAAATTATTATCTTGACCATCACCATGGTTCCAAACTAGTTTGTTGGTTAATTTTTACCTTCCTCCATTCTCCATTTTATTCCAAAAATGAAGCTAGTTTGAGCCTCAGAAAACATATTTTGTTGATGGATAATTAAGTGTTGCTCATTTGAGAAAAGGAAAATACTTGAAAAACAAGAAATTATTTCCTGTATATAGTATAATAATTCATTTATATCAATGTACACATATTTATCAAATCTTCACTTATGAATTAGAATAGAGTTTCGGAACGCTGTTGTTATGAGTGCTTTTAGTAAGTTCTGTGGCTCTTGTATTAAGTGTTTTAACTTTGAAAAAAAAAATAACACCACTTTAAACATTTTAAGTATAGACATCTCTGTACTTACAATGACCATAAGTCTACATAGAATTATGTAAGAGAGGGGTAACACAAGTTGGCTTAAGCAATATGATAAATAAAAAATGAAAAACAATATCTTGAATTATTCCATTAATGTCAGTGAAAGGAATTTCTACTGGAATTAAAGACCAAAACTAAAAATATGCTAATAGTGTGAATTGCTTTGGAAAAATGGCTTCCCACTGTTTCTACCTAACTAACTGCAACATCAAGGGTTTGTGAAAGTACATTCATTTTATGTTAGAAATTGTAATTAGTAGGTGGCCTTTTGGGAATATCCATACCTTTTACATATAACTGGGTTAACTATATAAAACTTGACTATGCTTACCACTAGATACTACTCCCAGTATGGAGGTGAATCACTCTGTACAGCTCTCAGGAGAACCCCAGTCAACACCTCCAGGGGACAGTTCATCATTACTGAGTCAAAATGGCCTGGAGAAGCAAGATGATAAGGATTCCTCAACCACACTCCAAACAATAGAGGATAAGGCAAGTGTGCAGTCTGAACAGGGAGTTCAAGATATCTCTGAGGAACTAAATCGACAACTGGAAGACATCATTAACACCTATGGGTCTGCTACTGAAAAAGAGGGTCCCGGCAAGGCAAAGGAGCCTGAGAACATAGAACCACTGGACAATGAGGATTTGGAAGGTGATGAAGCCACTGAAGAGACTGAGAGAGAACCCTTGTCTTCTGGAGAACCAACCACAACCAAAGAGCCTGTCAGCAATAAAGAGCAAAAATTGGAAAAGAAAATCCTTAAAGGATTAGGCAAGTAGTTATGTTCTAATGCATGACTTTCCTTTGATGATTCCTTCATCAGGAAGGAGCACTTCCTCCAACCTTTACTAAAAGCCACTGTAACAGCTTCTTGTAGGGTCTCCCTACACTTCCTTTGCTATACTTGGTGCTTAGCCGCTTCCTCTCAAAAGAGAAGAAGTGAACTTTTGAACATGTTACTCATCTACCCTGTTTCCCCAGTGGTTTCCCACTGCTCTTAGGAAGAGACTAAAATTCTTAACATGGTCTTTCAGGCCCTAATGGTCTAACCCAAATTAGTCTCCCTAGCTTTATCTCCCATCACTCTACACAGCATCTCCTTCCTGGACTCTCTGCCCCTATCACCACCACTACTACTACTGACTAATGGCTAATCATTCTGATCTTCTCTATTAGTGTTTTGAACATAGCATGCTCTATCCACAAAGCCCACATATATACTATTTTCTCTACCTAGAAATCCCTACATGTTCAGCCCTTGGGCACTTAACTTAGCATTTAGTTCACAATTCAAGTGGCATTTTCTTAGCCCAACTCTAGATAAGATCTTCTTGTTTTCCATTTCTGTTGTATCTTGTATTTTTCCTTCTGAGCATTTAGCAGTATATGAGAATGTTACATTTACTTTTTGTGATATTTGCTTAATGCATGTCTTCCCTTTCCCTAGCTGGTTTTAGCTCAAGAACAGGAACTGTGTGTGTATTCAGACATCACTGGATGCCTAGTGTTTAAGATAGTGGATGACACATGCCAGGTGATCAGTAAATATTTGTTATAAGGATAAATGAACAAGTAAATGAAAGGGAAATTGCTTAAAGCAAAGCTAGTGGAATCTGGATTTAAATAAAATATAAATATAGAGATTGTTTATATGTAAAATGATTATCAGATTGCTGAGTTGTATGTTCTATTACTATATAAAATATTTTTATTTCATAAAACTCTTTAAAAGGTATCAATTATAGAATGTCAAAAATTGCACAAAATATTTTTATTCTCATTAGTTTATTGATTCAGCAAATATGTATTAATACCTCATCTTTATGAGGTACTGTACTAAGTAAACAAAGATGAATAAGTCATCAAGAGCCTTTGGTTAAGGAGCTCTAAGTATAGAGAGAAAAACCTTGTTTTTCTAATTGTAATTGTAATCTAATATGTTATATAGGATAGTGCTAAGAACAGGCATGGGAAAATTTTAGGTGACCATGTGGGATTTTACACCAAAAATGGCTGTGAAAGAAGGATGAGTTAATTTATTAGCTACTAGTGAAAGCATGTTACTGTACATAGGAGAACCCCTCTGCCTGTCTTCCTTGGTGAATTTCACTGTGACACTCTGTACAAATACCACCTTCTATATGGTACATTCCCAGACACGCTCAGTAAGGGTTATCATCACCTTTCTTACTTCTCCATTAAATTTTCTGCATCAATCATTTGTTTATATACCTGCCTCCCAAGGGAGGTAGAAAATATATCAGGGGCAGCTATAATGTCTTACGCATTTCTTGAAGATAGTGTGGCAAAGTGAAAGGTCATGGGCGCTGGAGTCAGAACTGGGTTTAGATTCCAATAACCAGGTATCTATAAATCCCAAAATATGTCTGCCGGTGTGGGATATCACTATCTTACTTAGAACCCATTGTGGGCAATGTTTTCAAGAAAGGCTAAAAGACACATTTAAATAGGACATTTGACTCACCCAACATAAAGAATAAAATAACCCAAATAATACTTTAAAAATATCTACCAAGTTGCAAAGTGCAAGACTGAAATCACTCAAGGGTTCTGGATCTTTGGGAAAGAGAATAAAGTTGCTCTATGTTCAAAAGCTGTTTTTCCTTATCTAGCCAAGGCATTTCAGAAACGTCCCTTTGTATTAGCCATCGTTAAACTTCCCATAAGACAGTACAAAATCACATCATGGAGGGTTATGATTTCAAGTGCTCCTAATGGGAAATTCTTTTGCTTTATCATTTTATAACTATTTCTACAGAGGAATATGTATGTGTTGTATTGAGGGGATATGAAAAAAAGTAGGGATAAAATTAAAGATGACCAACTGTGGTTTCTTCTCTGTCTTCCATGAGTTATTTCAAAATCTATAGTGATGATCTAATTATCCGATTATCAAAAGAACTGTAGAGAAAGAAAACATTCCACAACTCTAATTCCACCACTGTCTCCAAGTTACCAGATTTCAACTGAATGTTTGATCAAAACTAATGTTTTGCCCACTTGTGTCCACCCTAACTACATGTGTCTCTGAACACCATTGGCATATTCTTCTAGGCACTGTAATGTTTCAGCTACATTATGGCTTAAACATTTTTAGGCTGATCGAAATATATAACCACCATTTTAAACATGATTTCAGCTGCCTGTAAGTAGCTTTAACGGGCTTCCTAGCTGTTAATCGTCTAGACCAGTAGTTTTCAAACTTAACTGTGCATTAGAACCAAATACAGAATTTATGAAAAATGCTGCTCCTGAGCACAGAAATTCAGAATTGGGAGGATTTGAGTGGAACCAAAGCACCAGGGGCAATTTTGATACAGACTGCAGAAACAATGATTCTTCTGTTTCAGAAAGTTCTTCTTCCACCCTTTTTTTTTTTTAATTTTTTTTTTAATTTATTTGACAGACAGAGATCACAAGTAGGCAGAGAGGCAGGCACAGAGAGAGGAAGGAAACCAGGCTCCCTGCTGAGCAGAGAATCCGATGTGGGACTCGATCCCAGGACCCTGGGATCACGACCTGAGCTGAAAGCAGAGGCTTTAACCCACTGAGCCACCCAGGCACCCCTTCTTCCACCCTTTTGAAGAAAAAGTGAAGTGCTGACGGTGGTCTTCTTTAGAATCTATTTGTACCTTTTATAGAATTTTAGGAAATCATTTTACCAGCACCTGAAAATATATCCTTAGATTTTGCTTAGCTACTTGATCAAAGATGAGTCTTCCATTATTTCATGTTTATCTGATAATATCTGCTTTATTGGTATTTTTGAGATGATGAAACATTCTGGCTCTCTAACCCAAAATTTTCCATAGTATATACTTTGGCATATTTGAGATTTCAGAAAAAGTTAAAGATTACTTACTGCCAGAATTCTTTGACTTTTGCTATATACAATGAAAATCTCCACTATAGATGGGCATAGTTTACAATATTTTCTGGACTAATTAGACCAAAGAGATCCTTCTTTCACAGAACACCTTTGATTATTTGGGAAATGTCTCTACAAACCAAGTACCTAGGACTTGTTTTTCCCTGAGAGACTTCATAACCTCCCCACAATCAACACACTATACACCAAAGCAGTTAGAGGAACATTTTTAAATCTCTTTAGTGGATAGAGCCACTTTCCCCTTGGCTTCTGAACTGAAAGAGACAAAAACAGAGTCCCCATTAGACAGCACTCTGACACGTCTTAAGCATCTCACTTACCTCTCCCACCCCATCCTCCAGACTCACAGTATCTTATTAATCACTTCTCTGCCAACAGTACGTGGGCCGCACAAGCACCACAAGGTAATAAGCACAGAACAATGATAAAATATAATATACTTTCTGATATTCTGGTTGATAACTGATTGAGTAGGAAATCAAAGGTTTGAAGCATAAACCTGGGAAGAAAACAAAGCTGATCCACAGGTCCAATCTGAGTTCAGAATACATCTAGTCAACCCACTAATTTTATAGACAGGGAAATTGAAGCTTAGAGGGTTTAAGAGTCTACAAAAAAAGGTTACTCAACTAGTTGATGTGATTGTGAGATGAGTCATAAAGGAAGCAAGGGGGCAGAACTGAAGTCACTAATATTGCAGGATTGAAGATACATACAAACTAATTGGTATATTGGTTAAGGAGAATTTACCATAACTCAGTTAATGGTTTTGCCTTTAGTTACCATGACTTTCAGTTGTATCTTCTGAGGAGCTTGACTAAGATGGTGGATTCCAAAATGTCTTTAGAAAGCCATTTGCTTACTCTTCCTTAGAAGGGGCACTTTCCCAGATGATTTGTTTCATCCATTTTTAGCTTGATTTCTAGTTTCACTGTGAAAGGGGAATAAACTGTTGCCTTAATACAACTGCTAAACTTTTGGAAGAGGTAGTAGGAGACCAGAAGAATTCAGGGAAAAGAGGAATCAACAGAGATTGCAAGGTTCATGAGTAGATTCACAGGGAAGTTAGATTTTAGACCAGGTCCTAAACAGAGAGAGAGGTTTAAAGAAATAGTTCAATTGGGACAGAAAAATATAACTTGAGCAAAGTAATTAGCACTCTCTTCTGATCAGAATTAGGAATAGATGTATTCATTTCTTACTGTTCTTTCTGGTGTTTTTCATTATAAGGTTTTGCTTTATTTTGTTTCCCCTGGAATAATCTCTTCATTTTTAGACTCTTAAAGGTTTTTTTTTTTTTCCTTTTAAGAAAGTTTTCTTTATAGTTAGAGTCAAGGAATTACTAATAATTCAAACATATCATCAACTGACTTAATAAGAAGTCCAGATCCACTCCCCAACTGGGTGAGAGGCAAAAGTTCCAAGTACATAAAACAAGGTGACCAAAACACGAAAGATATAAAATGTGGGCCAAATAAAAACAGTGTAACTAGAAAATACAGAGTAGGCAGTATTTTAAAAACTGATAAGCCATTAAAACCAAGCAAAACAAACAAAAACCAGACTATGAGAAGTAACAATGAGGGATAAGAAAATCCTGATAAATTTTAGAAGTCTGTTGTTTTTTCCCCAAAACATTTTGGAAAGACAAATATACCATCCAAACATTGTTAATTTTATTGTTGTCTAAATCAAGCTAAAAATGGTTAAATTTATTCCAGTCATGGAATCAACAAATCTTAAATGCTAAACTCAGAACCCATTTAGTCAACTTAATAATTTTATAGAGAGGGAAATTTAGGCCTAGAGAGTTGAAGAGTCTATAAAAAGGGTTAATGCATCAACTAGTCAGCGACACAGTCTGTTCTAGAACCCAGAGTCTAGTCCTTATCCTTAGTCCAGTGTGAATTTAAATACACTGTCCTTATAATCAACATACACAAATCTTATTTCTCTCAAAAGATATCTATAGATACTCAGAAATTATTTGCATCAGAGTCACTATTTTTAAATTGTGTTAGAAAACAAAATTAACATTGAAATTTGAATCTGGGTCTAACATTTGAAACAGAATATTCACGATCTTTTCTAGCTTTAAGATTCTGCCATAACACATAGAAAGCAGGGAGGGAGAAGAGAGACACACTTGTGTGTCCAAGACCAAATTTTAGCCCCAAATTTCTAGAAGATAATTTTGGTAGAGAATAAGTCAGGGTTTAGACACTTACCAAATCTGCATAAACGTAGTATAAATAAATAGTTATCACTATGCCAAAAGTTTAAGGAAAATTCCCATCCACATTTATATAGCTGACTTCATTATCTCAATTTAAGTGTTTTAATTTCTTTGATGTAAAAATATTCCCTTTGTAGTATAATACTCCCTCAGTCTACAACTGTGTCTTTGGCCATAGCCATGTGTGACACAGCCGCTCTTGTGGCTCATGTGGCCCTACCCCCTTGTAGACTTACTACAAAACTGAGTGTTTTGTGGAGGGAGAGCCATATGCCCTTCATGTGCCTTCCCCATTTTCAATGGGGACTTCAGGTCTGTCCCTCACTTTTTTTATGACTAATCTCACAATCACACTGCTTTGGAATGACACACTGGGGGAAAGACAGGTCACTCGCTCCTAATAAAATGTCCCTGAAAAAAAGTCAGTTTGTCTCTTGTGTCCGACACTATCACCAAATGACCTCATTTCTGTGGAATTGTAATTACAGCCTCTAATAGAAGATGAGCAATCCCTTTCCTAGTTCTCTTCTTCATGATAATACCACACAGCATTCTAGTCTGGAAAACCAATGGAAGTCTAAAAATTAAGCTCCCTGATGTCACAAATTTATTCATTCTGTGCATGCCTATCTCCAAGTTCCTGGATATTTGTGTTGTTTTTGTTGAAGGGCAAAATCATTTTTGAAGGATAAATTGATGCTTCTGAATGTTGACCTTTTAGGCAAAATAACAGCATGTGAGATCAGAAAGATCTCCATGAGGGTGCCCAAAACAAAACCCTCTTCTCATGGTTAAAGAAAATAAAAAGTTAAGATACATGGTGTGGAGAGAAAAAGAGACTTATTGTACTCACTCAAATGTTTCTATCTCCCCCAAATGAGACACATAATGGTTTTATGTGACCATAATCATACTGAGAGGTTTCCTAAGCATATATTCAATGGCAGAGGTGAGAGTAAGATCTGTCCTTCACAAAGTCAATCACAGAGTTGTCTTCAGGACAGTGTTCATTTAATTCACCTGCTACTAATGTGCACACGTTGGCTTTGCTTTGTTCTACTATTACTGACATTTACTGAGAACTTGCCATGGACCAAACATGATCTCGGTTCTGGGCCAAATCTGATCCACAGCAATCTCTTTCCTCTAATAGATGGCACTCACTCAGGACATCAGTCTTCATGTGGCCCCTTTCCCAGACTGAAGACAAGGGGGGAGGGATGTCCCGACCAACGCACATCTCTCGTGGTTGCTTAAGAACTAACTCCGAGGGGCGCCTGGGTGGCTCAGTGGGTTAAGCCTCTGCCTTCGGCTCAGGTCATGATCCCAGGGTCCTGGGATCGAGCCCCACATTGGGCTTCTGCTCAGCAGGGAGCCTGCTTCCCTCTCTCTCTCTGTGCCTGCCTCTCTGCCTACTTGTGATCTCTGTCTGTCAAATAAATAAATAAAAATCTTTAAAAATAAATAAATTAATTAATTAAATAAAATAAAATAAATAAATAAAAAGAAAAAAAAGAAAAAAGAAAAAAAAAAGAACTAACTCCGAGCACAGGCACAGAGGAGGTGGGGCAGCAGTGATGAACAGTTGAAACTTGGCTCGATATGTCACAGGCCATAATTGGAAAGCTGGTGGGGGGCCTCTCACACCCACCTTCTCCCCGTCTTAGGCCATGTCTCTAATCTGAACTGACTCACTGGGCAGAGATGGACAAAACCAGCTGTTAGCAATGAGGTCATGTTTTTTTAAGAAAAAGTTTCCTTTTATTTCTCTGAGTTTCCTGGCATCCAAATTCCACATGGGAATGAAGGGATTTAGAGCAAGTAGACAAACCTTGGATTCAAGCCTTGACTCTTCCAGTGTTAATTATGTAACTTCGGACTTCACTGGGCCTTAGATTTTTAATCTATAAAATTAACCATTTGTCTGAATCTTCTTTAAATTCCTTCTAGACCTAAAATTCTTTGATGCCATTAGAGTTAGCAGATATAGCAAATAAAAGTACAGGATGCCAAGGAGAATTTGAACTTCAGTAAACAATGCAAAAGTTTTTTTAGTATAATCATGTCCCATGTCCTGTATTTCATCTGGCAACCTTAATTTCATGATTTATCTGCCTCTCCAGGATAAAAGCAAATATTCTAGCAAAAGGGAAATGCCTATTCTTAGGGAAAAGTTGTCAAAGTTGTTAATATTCTCACATAGATTTACATCAGGAAACATGGCCTCTACTGTGTGGATTGACCTTCCTATTCTAATTAGACAGGACTGGCTGTCACTGTGTTCCACCTTGATCAGACACTTTGAAAAGACATCATCAGGGGTATATGCAGGCCCCAGGGTCCCTCTCCTCCCTGCCAACACTCAGCCCAATGGCTACTTTAAAACAAGATTTCCAGGCCCACAGAAAGGCAAATGCAGAGGCTGAGCTGAAGAAGACAAAAGGAAGAACAATGAGGAAAGAGAAGAATCTGAGATTCACCATCCAATAATCACGAACAGATGAGTCTTAAAATGTAGCATAAATTCCAAGTGGGATCAGAAAAGGAGACTGTCAATGAAGATTAAGCCTGGGTGGGAGGAAGGAAGGGCCAGGAAGGCTGAACCCATTATCACAAGAGACCCAAAAAGGCCTGTGGATAAGGCCCTCCAATCTTGGCTTGGTTTTCCTTCTATGTTGATTTAATTCTCTGCTAGGTAGGAAATATGAGCGGAACATTCTCATCCAAACCTCACAGAATGCATTCACACAGAAAAACAAGACAACTGGTTACCCCCCAAAAGAGAGAAAAAAAGTACTGAAAGCAAAAAACAAACCCAAAAATGGCAGACGAAACTGTCCAGACTCTGTGCTTTGGACTGGAAGTCTAGAACCAACGCATCAATGCGGGCAGTTTGGTGGGCGTCAGAAGTTTTGATTGGCTGCTCTGCCTCTTTTTTTTTTTTTTAATTAACCAATGGGTGAAAATAGGTGACTTATACAAAGTCAGCATTTTTTATTCTTTTGAATATTTTCAAAACATTTTTCTAAATGTCTTGATGGGTTTTGTTTTCTTTAAAGGCAAAGAAGCCAACGTGCTGATGCAAAATCTGAACAAGCTGCAAACACCTGAAGAAAAACTGGATTTTTTACTCAAGAAGTATGCTGAATTGGTAAGATGAGCTCTTTGTGTCAGAGAGGTTCAGGCCCTGGTTGGAGCTGAGAAAAGACCATTCGTTTTTTGGGGACCTCATTAGAGACTATAGCTGGTTACCTCACACAAGCCAAAGAGAGAATCCATAAAAGCAGAATTTTTTTTTTAAAGGAAAAAAGAAAGAGAAAAACTGAGGGAAAACAGCACAACCAAGAAAGAGGATAACGCTGGAGTCTATTGGAGTCTAGCCTTCAATTATATGTATAATTTGGGGAACAGAAGAGAGAATTAGAGATCATTGAAAATTGTAGCTATTTTAAAGTTCTTTTTGGGTTTGTAAGAACACAGAAATATACTCGACCTAAAGGCAAACTTTCATTCAGTTCTTGTGCCTAGGTATTTTGAGGATCCCCCTCAGGAAGGCAGAGGGATGAGTTTTTCCTACCCTCAGCTTGTGACCCCTTTTCATTTGGGCTTGAAAACTCTATTCATTCAGTCCGTCAGTCAGTCACCCATTCATTTTTTCTCTTTGATCTACATTCTTCTCCCCACCCCACTGTGGCAGTGTTTGATGTGGGTTGCTTTGTGCCTAGTTCTAGGTCCTCCCCAGGCAGTGTCCCTCCGAATAAGGCCATTGGGAGGCAGGGAAGCCACTCAGAGACATCAGAGAATCCATGAAGGGCACTGCCTCCCCACCAGTACTCTTCTAATGGGTCAGTTGAGAAAAAGAGGAGGGTTCAGTGAAGCCAGGCTCTCTGCGAGAGGAGTGCCATTTGAGGTCTGGGCACTACTCCCCAGGGTGTGTGACCCTCCACAGGGATGTGACATCCTCTCACATGACGCTATCCAATGTGCTCCTCCTTCCCATCGGCTTCCTTTTTTTGTTTTAAGATTTTATTTATTTATTTGTCAGAGAGAGAGAGAGCACAAGCAGGGGAAGGGGCAGAGGGAGAAGCAGGCTCCCCAAAGAGCAGGGAACCCAAGGCAGGGCTCGATGCCAGGACAGTGGGATCACGACCTGAGTCAAAGGCAGACACTTAACAGACTGAGCCACCCAGGCATCCCCCTGGTTGCTTTCTTTAAAAAAATATTTTCACTCACTTATGTCTTTTGGACAAGCAGTGACAGGAGAATGACGCTAAATCCACAGAGCAAAATACTTCCTCCAAGCGGCAGGCTGAAGGCAGATCTACCTTGCAGCTAATGAAGTTTGGTTCAGAACCTCTCACCAGCATGTGCCCCTCTGAGGCTCTGGATACAATTCTCTTTTCTTAATTTTGGGTTTTTTTTTTTCTGTGTTCTTTGTTTTTAAAAGAAAACCTCCAAAACTGAATGAACTTCAGGCACTCAAGCCCCTCATCTTAACCCTATTGATGGCCTGGAGTTTAACAAGTGACTTGTTTTCTTTCTTTTTCTAACTCCCGTCCTGTGGTCATGTTCCTCCCTTTCTTCTGTCACCTTGCCTCATCTTCTTGGGCTGAACAGTCCTGCAATAAGCCCAGAGGGACTCCAGAACCCTGAGTCACTGGCTGGTTGTTTAACTATGCCAACACTTTCTAATTGTTTTTTAATCATGTAAACCCTATATCATGATGATATGAGAAATGCTGCAGACACAAGCAAATATATCACTAATCCCATAACCTAAAACACAAACTTTGATTTATCTGTCTTCATTCCCAGTTCTGCTATAGAAGAAGACATAATTTTTATAAAAATTACTATTATAAGGTAGATACATAATTTGGTATCCAGTTTTGATGACTTATACGATGGACAATTTCCCATGCAGTTTAGAGTCTTTATAATTATATTTTGTAATAGTTATGTCATTTTCCATGGAGTGGCCATTATCTTCTGGTTCTCTGATTTGGGGACATTGGATTCCTTCTACTGTTTGCTTTACCAAATACTGCTGCACTACACATCGTCATGCATTAGATCTGTTCCTTCTCCTTTGTTTTATGATCCATGATCCCAATCCAGAATTGGGATTACTGAATCAAACTGCATGAATGCCTTTTGGTTTTTCAGGTGTTTTTTAAATGGTTATAGTATTTTCCAAAAGAATGGCAAAAATTTATAAAGTGAGTATCAAGTGTTTCAACTTGTTTTTATCGCAGCTTGTTTAACATTAGCTATTAACCATCCATGAGCAGTTTCAATGTCATAAAATAAGTTAGGTTTCAGAAATATTTTTCCCAAAAATAAGGCCCCCATTCTGGGTCCATCCTTGGTCTCTTTGGTACTTTCCCACATCGTTTTCTCTTTGCCCCTCCGATTTACCTCTTTTTCCAAAAGCCATTCATATTTCTAGTGCCATGCTCCATACTTGACTGGACTGGGCAGTGTTCCAGCCATATGGGAAGCCATAGGAGGGGCTGCAGTCCTCAGCAGTACATCAAAGAAGCATCACTTCTCCCGTCTGCCTGAGATTTTCTTCCTGAGCCACAGCTGTTCACCCTAGGAACATCCTCCACCTACTCACCTTCCCAGTCAGGAGTCACCCGATGGAGGTTATCTTTCCAGAGAGCCTGCTCAACTCAAGCTTTACTTACTGTACATTGGCATTTATATCATGTCCTATAATAAACTTTAAAATCCAAAAGGTCATTCTAGAAAAAATGAATAGGAGAAATTGGCCAAAAACCCATTAAATTTCCTTTTTAGAAAGGAAAAATTATGAATAATTTCAATCTTTTGCTTGGAGACTAAAACCTATTTCATTGCTCACTGATTTGGATATTAATATAAAATGTGTCTGACTTGTAAGTGTTAACATAAAATAAATCATCAAATTCAAAGCTGTGAATCAAACTGCCACTCTAGCTCACTCACCCTTCCAGATTCTGAATCCTATAATATCACCTACTATTGTTTTCATTAACAAATAAGGATACATTTATTTAAAAAGATACCACATGACCTGGAAGAAGTAGTTTTTCTAAGTGTCCTCAGTTTTAATGTAGTTACAACAAATCACTAATACTATTCTGATTTAGTAATTGGCATTAATTTATTTTTAACTTAATAATAAAAAAGGGAGAGCAAGAAAAATAGCAGATAAAAATCTAATATGCCTGTCACAATAGTAAAGAAGCGCCGTGATGTCTAATTGCATCATTAAATCACTAAGCCAGGAAGAAATCTGACTGAGGTTGACTTTGTTGCAATATGTTCACTTTCATTCATTAAGAAACCATATATGGGGGCACCTGGGTGGCTCAATGGGTTAAAGCCTCTGCCTTCGGCTTGGGTGGTGATTCCAGGGTCCCAGGATCAAGCCCTACATGGGGCTCTCTGCTCAGCGGGGAGCCTGCTTCCACCTCTCTCTCTCTCTGCCTGCCTCTCTGCCTACTTGTGATCTCTGACTGTCATATAAATAAGTAAAATCTTTAAAAAAAAAAAAAAAGAAACCATATATGTATTCACAAGTCTGAAGTATTTGTATAAAATTAGCCACAGGCTTTAAAAAATTGTCAGCAAGTTAAGGGTTTTTATTTAGAGCATTCAAGATAGACCTCGCTAAATGTCAAATGTATATAATTTTGCAGTAAAACTAGAACATTACCTGGTTGATAAGCAAGTGAAGTCATCTCTTCCAACTTATGAAACCCATATAGGGTATCCTCCTCCTGGTGCTCAGGTAAATCCATATGGGGCAGTGCTCCCCCACCAGGTGCAGTAGTTGATGTCTGTCTGGAGATGTTATAAATGTTACGATTGTAGGGAGTGCTATTGGCATCCAGTAAGCTGGGGACAAGGATGTGGCTAAAGAGCCTACAATGCCCAAGATAGCCCCCCACAACAAGAAATTACGTAGCCCAAAGTCTAAATCATAACAGCAATAACAATATGTAAATTTCAGAAAGAGATAATAGGTCATTCAAAATCCAAATATACTCTCTCTCTCTAAAAAAAATTTTTAGGGGTGCCTGGGTGGCTCAGTGGGTTAAAGCCTCTGCCTTTGGCTCAGGTCATGATCCTGGGGTCTTGGGATCGAGCCCTGCATCGGGCTTTCTGCTCCACAGGGAGCCTGCTTCCTCCTCTGTCTGTCTGCCTACCTCTCTGCCTACTTGTGATCTCTGTCTGTCAAATAAATAAATCAAATCTTTAAAAAAATAAAATAAAATAAAATAAAATAAAATATAAATAAATAAATAAAATTTTAATTAAAAATATTGAAAAACAAAAGAGGGGAGGCGCCTGGGTGATTCAGTGGGTCAAGCATCCAACTCTTCATTTCTGCTCAGGTCATGATCTCAGGGTCATGAGATGGAACTGTGCCTGGGGCTCTGTGCCCAGTAGGGAGTCTGCATGAAATTCTCTCTCTCTCTCTCTCCCCCTTCCTCTGCCTGTTCCCAAACTTTTTCTCTCTCTAAAAAAAAAAAAAGAAAGAAAGAAAAAGAAAAGAAAAAAAATCCAAATATAAGCACAAATGTAACTACGGTCCAAAATTTAAAAACTCATCCGTCCTGTTAACAGGAGGTTAGCATGAGAAACATAATAAAATACCAATGGTTGTCTAATTAAATCTCAAGAAGGAAATCGATTTCAATCAATGTTTATAGCAATATGGGTTCAATTTTTCCTGATGCTATTCTCACTAATAAATAAAAATTGCCCATAAATGTGATGATAGAATACCATGTATAAATATCCCCAGCTTACTCCAGCAATGATGACTGGGTGGCAAGAGGAAGGGAGAAAGATAAGTTGTGAACTGAAGAGAATGTGACAGTCTTGTTCGGCTAGTTCAGAAAGAACAAATACTTTTTCAAGACATGGAAACTGAGGCATATATGAGTGTTCATATCATGTGTGTCATCACTTGCATCAGGCTCTTTAGGGCACAACGAACACCTGGGGTCCAAAAGCCCCAACAGTCTCTCAAGGGCTTTTCCTCCCCTTGAGCCAATAAGGTCATAATCAGGACAAATACCCTCCTGGATTAAGCATCATTCGGGCACTCAGGGAACTGAGTCCAGCAAAGGAAAGGCTCTGGATGAAGAGCTGTCTTTGCAGACAGCCTCACTGACTGTCCACCTGAGATCAACATGCCTGGAGTGTGCTGTCTCTGGTGGCTTCTGTAGATTGATCCCCAAACTCCCCTCACTGGAACTAGAATTCCATTCAACATTGCCAAATTCAGCAAACGAAAATACAGGACACCCAGTTACATTTGAATTTCAGATAAATAATTTTTTTTCACTAAAAGTGTCCAATGCAATACTTTTGATACGCTTTTACTAAAATTTAATTTCTTAATTATTTGAAATTCAAATGTAACTGGATGTCCCACATTTTTTCTTGCAACTCTATCCCAGAAGTATAACACCCCAAGATGGAATATCCCATGGCAAGCGGGCTTCATTTTCCATGCCATCCCTAATACTTCGTGGTAGCTGCTGGAGGAATGTGAGAAGAGACCCCAGCTATGGTTGACAAAAGTACGCATGTCATGATGTGTTGGCCATAAGCGTGGAGGGTGGAGGTAGGGTGGTCGGAGGGCAGGGGATGTTAAGGATACTTGCCATTCATGCTGTTGAACTGTGCAGCTTCTACTTCTGAAGTTCTAGGGGAAAATTGCCAATGCTGGGTAGTTGAGAAGTCCTTTCTCTTCTTCCCCTGTTTCACAAACCACAGACTTCATCTTCCATTTTACCAGGAAGCTGTTTTATGCTTTCCTATTAAAAAAAAAAAGTTGCTCTAAGTTTGTTTTGAGAAAGAATTGTGAGACCAACTATACACCAAGCAGACACACTGTGGACCATTGCACCAACGAAAGGCATTATCATGAATTCTGAGAGCCTACGGATTCCAAGATGTGCCCTTCCCTATTGACCAGTGTCACTGGAGAGACTCAAGAGAAAGGAAATGATTTCTGACCACCAAAAAGAAGATCAGAGTAAGAAGGGATTGTTATAATGATAAGGGAAAAGCTATAAATGATATGTTCTAAAAGCTGTATCTACAAGTATCGCAAAGTCCCATTTATGCGGTTTATTTGATTGCAGAGGGCTGGCCACGATAACAAAAAAAAATGTTTCCAACAACCACAGAGTGGTCTTTAGGTATTTCCTCTTTTGCTGCTTTTCTGTCAACTCAAAAGCGATTCCTGCCATTTTCTTTTATGTTTGCACCCCTGTGTCTAGCTGGACGAACACCGCACTGAGCAAAAGAAGTTAAAGCTCTTACAAAAGAAACAGGTACAAATCCAAAAGGAAAAGGACCAGTTACAAAGCGAGCACAGCAGAGCTATCCTGGCAAGAAGCAAACTGGAGAGTCTATGCCGGGAGTTACAGAGACACAACAAGACACTGAAGGTATGTATTACCACCGCTCTGAAAAACACACTTTTTGGCATGCTGCATAGACACAGGCTTCTCCCACTCATGGAAAGAGCATGAGTTTCTGACCTTCAATAAGTTATTTTAACTCCCCAAGGCTGTTTTCTCATCCCTAAAATGGGGATTGTATTATATTACTGTGTGGCCAGGGAAAAATTAAATGAGGTCATATACATACGGTGCTCTGTAGTACCTGACGCAGAGCAGGCTCCCAATAAAATGTGTGCCATCCCCCTTGCTTTTTTATTACTTCAAGTTTGTTTTATTACTTAAGGTAAGACTCAGCTCTACTGTTTAAAATACAAATTTGTAAAACTACAACAGTTTTTGTATTATAATGAAATCTGCAGGACACAAGAAAAATGGACATAAACCTAACTGACATTAGACAGCAAGATTGAGAGCCAAAAAGTCAATAGTCAGCTGAAAAAGAAACTACTTGGAAAACCACTGAAGCTCTTCAGACTTAATTATTCAATCTAAAGATAATAGACTGATCACTTCATTCAGTCTGCATGGATTTCATTAATTACAGCACAAGCTTGTAGCAGTGTGCCTAATTTGATTACACATAGACGCTAGCTCCATTCAATGAAGCAAGAATCAGGGCTCTCCAAGATAATACTACAGGCGTCCACAATCCCCTTTCCAGTTGAAGATCTCAAAGGTTTTGACAAACAATAATTAATTAGACACCAACATTTCCATGAGATAGTTATTATTACATGCGTTTAGAAGGAGATCCTTTAAGAAGCGAGAGATTAATTAAGATCACTGCTGAGTCTGCACAACAGGGTTGGGAAGAAAACTAGAAGAGAATCATGGCTCTTCATATTCCAGATTGGTTTCTGATATCTGGGAAATGGAAGGCCAGCCTGATGAACTGTAACTCTTAGATCACAAGTTGTAGGAGAAGGGCATCTGGCATCGATTCAGTCATTGCTCTGGGGACAGTCAGAAATGCAGGTTAAGGAAATAATCAAGATTAGAGCAGAGATCAATGAGGTAGAATCCAGAGATACAGTAGAACGTATCAATGAAACTAGAAGCTGGTTTTTTGAAAGAATCAATAAGATCGATAAACCATTGTCCACACTAATCCAAAAGAAAAGAGAGAAAGCCCAAATTAATAAAATTATGAATGAAAAGGGAGAGATCACAACTAACACCAAGGAAGTAGAAACAATCATCAGAAGTTATTATCAACAGTTATATGCCAATAAGCTAAGCAACCTAGATGAAATAGATGCATTCCTGGAAAACTATAAACTCCCAAAATTGAACCAAGAAGAAATTGACAACCTGAATAGACTGATATCTAGTAACGAGATTGAAGCAGTGTTCAAAAACCTCCCAAAAAACAAAAGCCCAGGACCTGACGGATTCCCTGAGGAATTCTACCAGACTTTCAAAGAAGAAATAACACCTATTCTCCTCAAGCTGTTTCAAAAAATTGAAGCAAAAGGTAAACTTCCAGACTCTTTCTATGAAGCCAGCATTACCCTGATCCCCAAACCAGGCAAAGACCACACCAAAAAGGAGAATTTCAGACCAATATCACTGATGAATATGGATGCTAAGATTCTCAACAAGATCCTAGCAAACAGGATCCAACAGCACATTAAAAAGATTATCCACCATGACCAGGTGGGATTCATCCCTGGGTTACAAGGATGGTTCAACATTCGCAAATCAATCATGATAGAACAAATCAATAAGAGAAGAGAGAAGAACCACATGGTCCTCTCAATTGATGCAGAAAAAGCATTTGACAAAATCCAGCATCCGTTCCTGATGACAACGATTCAAAGTATAGGGATAGAGGGAACATTCCTGAACTTCATAAAATCTATGAAAGACCCACAGCAAATATCATCCTCAATGGGAAAAAGCTCGCAGCCTTCCCGTTGAGATCAGGAACATGACAAGGATGCCCACTCTCAACCACTCTTGTTCAACATAGTATTAGAAGTCCTAGCAACAGCAATCAGACAACAAAGAGAAATAAAAGGTATCCAAATTGGCAATGAAGAAGTCAAACTCTCTCTCTTCGCAGATGACATGATTCTTTATATGGAAAACCCAAAAGACTCCACCCCCAAACTACTAGAACTCATACAACAATTCAGCAACGTGGCAGGATACAAAGTCAATGTACAGAAACCTGTTGACTTCTAAGCTAAGCTAAAGCAGTAAGGAGACAATCGCTATCATATATATATTCAATGACTCTTAGCCAATGGCTATAATAATGCTTAGTGAAATATATATAGTGAGTGTTGGCATACAAAGATCAGGGAAATAACATCTCAGTTAATATCTTCAGATTAGAAAATGTGGGTATTTCCTATAATACCCCTAAGAAATTGTTTTGTGACTTAATTATGATTCAGATATCAGGAGATTTATTGGAGTAGGAGAATATGTTAATACTGTAGAGGAAAGAGGATACCTAATGGTAAGTTAATGTATTTTCACAGCATAATTCTTAGCATCAGTTTTTATTTTGATCACATTATTCTACTATCATAATAAGGATTTGCACAATTACTTCTATTTAAATCATTTATTTCTTTTTAAAAATCCTATTACATAATTTGATCACAGAAGGCAACTAAATGCAGTATAAGTTTACTTGCCAACCATGAAGCAAGCTTTCATAATAACAATTAGTCAGAACTGAAAGGCATCCTAAAATGCCTATATCATTTTTCAGCAGTGTCTCTATCTTTGGTATGATATAGCAAGATTAAACCCTTTGATTCTAAAAGAATGAGAGGAATCATCACAAAGCAAATAATTCTCAATATAGATATGGGGGAAATTTGGGCACATTGTTGGTAGTTAGCAATGAAGGGAGGGTTTTGATTTAGGAGAAAAGAGAACAGAAATGAAATAAAAGTTAATTTCCAGTTCTTGAAGAGGGGGAAATTAGATGTTTCATTTGAGAGTTAAAGAAAATTTGGAACTTAAAATTGCTTTCAGATTCAAAATCTATATTGAACATTTCAATTACCCTATGTGACACATGGCCTGATTGTTCTTTCAGAAATAAAATATCCAGCAAATTTTCTAAGATTTCTTTTTACATTCCTGAATTGCTAAAATTGATCTATAGCTATTTAGCTAAATTTGTTTTCTTTTCAAGCTTGCTGATGAAAGTTTTTCTTACTAAGAAAAAGTTTAATATTGTGATCCATTGTATTTACAAAACTTGGATAATACAATTATGTGTTTAACATGCCATAGTTTTTTTTTTTAATAAAGGAATATAAGATCTATTATTCTTCTTTCTATACCAAACCAAGGTAACACAGGATCTGTCTCAACAATCAGTGGCCTTTTTTCCAGGCCACAGCCAAGAGATCAAAACCCACCTACTGCATGTTTGATAGAAATTGGTACAGTATAGGCACTCAGCCCTCAACGGGAGACCCGTCATCTTTAAAACAAGCCTATTCATCACTAACTGTTAAGTTCGAGACCCTCATTGCACCTTCTCTGGGCAACTGTATATTTACAACTGGAACTTATCCTCATATATTTATTTTGGGCCTGAGCAAGTTTAGCTCCAGAGAACAGAAAAAAATGTCCTGCTTAATCCTCCACACTGATCTCCTTTCACTTACCTAACCCTGAGTTCTATAAACCTGGATGCACATAAACCAGAATAACAAGAAACTTTGCTTTTTATCCACAGGAGGAAACCCTTCAGCGGGCACGAGAGGAAGAAGAGAAAAGGAAGGAGATCACAAGTCATTTCCAGACCACTCTGACGGATATCCAGGCCCAGATTGAACAGCAGAGTGAGAGAAATATGAAGCTGTGTCAGGAGAACACAGAGCTTGCAGAGAAACTGAAAAGCATCATTGATCAGTATGAGCTCAGAGAGGAGGTGAGAACCACATCAAACAACTTAGGAGCACTATATATAGATCCAGATCTGGGCTGTAAAGGTGGGGGACTTGGTTAATAAGAAAGTTATGGCCGGCCCTCTCAATTGGTTAATGTTTAGGATTGGATTTCTTTTACTAGCCAAAATAAAAACAGGTGATATTGCAAAATACCTGGCTGAAAGCCATATGGGATTTCTCTAAAACTGGGATCACTGCAAAGCAAAGGCAATAAATGGGAAGTAGTAGGCCATGAGCATAGTTACCTTTGAAAATAGTATTTCTCAGCTTTTTAAAAACACTTTCTACAGAGCCAGGAAATATCTCACAGACTCCTTCTTAAGAATCATCATGTCATCTAAATGTCATCTACACAGTGTGTGTTCTATATGTCCCACAAACCAATAGTAGTATTAATAATATAATAATTATAATATTAATGGTATTACTTATTCAGCACTGAGTTTGTGCTAGGAAAGTTGCTGAGTACTATACTTTACATACAATATGTCATTTCATTGTTTCAACAATCTTATGCATTAGATAATACCATATCCACATTATATGGGTGGGAAGCAGAGGTTGAGATTAAATCACTTACCTATAGTCACAAAAGCCAAAAGAGTTTTATTCTCAGTATTTTACATTAGGAAGACTATGAGGATATTTTATTATTCCAAAATTGTATCTTAATATTTAATATATTTTTAAGACTCCAGAAGTCTTCTCAGGGTTTTTATATATCATATTATTTACCCCATCCCACCCAAATTTTAAAAGTCTGCCTTAAATGTCACAGAACATAATCAGAGTGGCTCTGTTGACAACATGCTAAGATTTTATCAAGAGAAAAACTGAGCCAATAGCACACGGAAACAATAGTTAGGTAAACCAAGAAGTCCCTCACAGTAAGCCAAAATGCCATGCTACCATTTTACCTTGTCACCAAGATCAATCCTACTCCAGAGTGGAGGTTCAGGCAAAAGCAAAAGGGAAGAAGCTTAAAAAAAAAAAAAAAAAATTCCATACTCTTCAGAGAGATTCCCAGATAAGAATGGCCTAGTAGACCCAGTTGTACATTCTTGAGATTGGTTCTAGATAAGCCCCAAGGCTAGAATTCCATAGGTCCTCTTGTCAGTGGGACCTCCTAATGACCAAGAAATTTACACTGAAGTAGAATTTGAAGCTTCTCTTCACTAAGCCAGGCGAGAGGTCAAAAGATGTAGAGGAGGTAGGAGCACATTTGCATATCAATTCATCCATGACCCTTGGCTTTTATCTTGCTCACCAGAGCAACAGAGTTGAAGTGGGGAGGGGTTCCCCCTCAGTCCCAGACCCTGGGCCACAGACTGGTCCCCCAGAGCTGCCTCACAACCCTTGAGACAAGAATGTGGTAGAGAATTCACTATGATAAATTATATGAATATGATTAAAACCAGTTTTAGAAATTGCCAAAATACTGAGTGATGGTGCTATAGCTCTTGCAATATACATCAGTCTGCCCTCTAGTATAATAAGCAGCATCATACTTAGTAATTGCTACATTTAGACAAAGTTGGGAGCTTCTGGAGCTAACATTACTGAACTTTGCACCTCAACCTTTTGTAGCCACTACTTTGCATAGCCCTAAATGCAGGCAGGGGGTTTTACTAATTTACGATTTTATACAAAGCCATAAGTGATACCAGTGCATTTATTCACCCCACCTCTCTTTTCTTTAAATCTCAAAACCTATAAAACATTTGTGTTGATATTACTTTTTTATCTTACATTTCTCAGCACCAATAATTAAGTCAAGCTTGATATGTGCCATTTCTTTTCTCATAGCATCTGGACAAAATATTTAAACACAGAGAACTGCAGCAGAAGCTGGTGGATGCAAAACTGGAACAGGCCCAAGAAATGATGAAGGAAGCCGAGGAGCGACACAAACGCGAGAAGGAATATGTACTTATCAGTGTGCTTATCTGGTGTACTTGGGGGTCAGAGAACCTCTGGGAAAGTTGTTTTTGACCACAGTCACAGAGCACTAGACTGATGGAGGGAGCTGAGCTTCCCTAGAGAACTACATTGGCCAGCCCACAGAAGGCACGGTACCTACACGGTTTTTGACATAAAATCATCGTGCATCCATTCAACAAGCCTTTTTCAAGCACCTATCTTGTACTAAGCATCATCCTAGGTGCTGGGGGATAGCAGTGAGCAAGACCAAGAAGGCCATATCCCAGCACGGAGACTAGAATCTAACTAAGACAAGACAGGCAAGAAGCAAGCAAAAATGAAGGAAAATTTCAGATAATAATTGGTGCTATTAGGGAAATGGGGAACTGAAAAGGGGCAGGAGGGAGCTACTCTAGATGGGGTGACCAGTGGCCAAGTTTTATAGCTTTTTAAGCTATAAAGTAGTTAGGATTTTACCCTAAACATACTGAGAAAGTCTAGGTAGCTTTAGCTATGGAAATAACATGATCTGCCTTGCATCTGTTAACAGATGACCTTGGCTTCTGGGTGGAAAATGAATTGAAGAGGGACAAGGAGCCTACTCCAGCAATATGGAAGAAGCCTGATGGTGGCTTGGGTTGGGGACATGGCAATGTCCAGTTGGGGAGCTGGACATGGATAGAAGTTTTCAGTGCAAAACCAACAGTCAGTGCTCTGAATTGAAGACGGTGACAGTGAGGAAAGGGAACAGTCAGGGATGGCTTCTGAGGTTGGGGTTTAAGAAACTGAGTGGTGGCTTTTAATGACATCTCACTAATTCCAAACATTCTGAAAACAGCTGTAGGGCCATTCTGCTGATGCAAGAACTGAGGCTCATAGAAGATATGTGACTTATTTAAGGTCACACACTGCTAAGTGATCAAGATGTATTGGTCACACTTCCAACACATCTGACATCTCCAGTGTGTCTGTCTCCAAAACCTAAGCTCTGTGATTGTACATCACACTCAGAGGTGTGTTTCAGAGGCATGCATCGAAGTGTGTGTCTGTCGCTGGGGAGAGAGATTTAAAATGCAATCAGTGAACCAATCATTCAAATTTGGCCATTTAACAACTGATCACAAACTCTGTGATTACCTAAAACCAGACTAGAATCACTTCAGTTTGTTAGAAGTGTAATTTAATCATAACTTCAGTTTCCAAATATAGCAACAAAGGACGAATTTTAGAGAACATAACGTGATGGACAATAGATAATCTCAAATCAGAAGTCCATGGGCTCTTAATAAAAAAGGTTAAGTTGGGGCACCTTGGTGGTTCAGTCAGTTAAGTGTCTGCCTTCAGTTCAGGTCATGATCCCAGGGTGTTGGGATCAGGTCCTACATCACACTCCCTGCTCAGCAGCGAGTCTGCTTCTCTCTCTCCCTCTGTGATCCCTCTTGCTCTCACTCTCTCTCAAATAAATAAAACCTTTTAAAAAAGTATGATGTTAAATCCACCTACAACTGGCTCTCAAAATAAGAAATAAAGCATCTAATTATTAGTCAGAATCCAAGAAAATTGATATGCCACCATTGGCATAAGTATCCTCTTGGGCAAACTATGCTCCCTTCAGGATAGCAGTATCTTTGATATATAACATAAGACCTGACAGAAGAATAACTAGGCAGAGCTTCGTTTGAAAGAGACTAGGGGCAGTTTTGAGGTGACCTAGCCTTAGCAAGAAACTAGCGTGCTACACTTTTTTTCCTATCCTCATTTAGCAAAGCAGCAGATTTGAGGCCAAAAAAAGTAGCCCCCTCAGTTCTTCAGGTTCCAGCTGTGATGCTTCTTATTGAAAGCAGTGAAATATCAAGTCAGAGCTGGAGGGTTCTTTCATCCCAAGTGGAACAGGCAGCCACCTTCTTCCCTCTTGGTCAGGGAACCACCAGTCACCACTGGGCTCCTCAGCCTGCTCAGTGAAGCAGGGGATCAGATGGCCAGAGAGGAGCCTACAGGTCTTGGACTCCACATCTGCCCCAGCCCTCCATTGGATGGGTTGATTTCACTCCTATAACAATTAACCTTCATAGTTCTCTGAGAGGCATAGAGGAACAGATAGAATCCATTTTACAAATGGAGAGGTTGAGCCAAGAGAAAAAGATAAACTTGAATACTAAAAAAGATGCTTCCAAGTTTTTTTAAATGATGACTTTATTGTTTTTTGTTCTGATTGCAAAAAGTGGACATTTTTTAAAATAGGAGCAAAGAAAAAGAAAAAAATAAATCAGCCTGTCTTCATATATACTAGAAACTTCATAAGCTGATGGCCACCTAATTGACTAGCCATGATGTCCATCATTCTCTCTGTAAACACACTAAAGATGCCCACAGCATGTTGAATCCTGTGCCTAGACAGCCACTTGAGTGTCTATACATTGGTTCCCAGGTTAAGTAAGATGGCAGTGACCAAGAATCAGCTCTTTGCTCCCAAACCTTTTCTTTCAGTTATTCTTGCTTTTGTATTATGAAAACCAACAGAATGACAAAGAAACTGATGAAATATAGTGTGAAAAGAAGGAACTGTTTCTATGAAAACTATGCTTAAGGCTTTCAAAGACTAAATGTAGACAAATAGCACAAAACATGTTATTTTTGGAGTGGGAGTAGCTATAAAAGACTGGAAGAAAGCTCTACAACTCCAGAAAATTACCCAATTAAGCTTCTTTGCAATACCTTTAGGTCTGTAGGTTCTAGTACTATTGTTTTAAAAAGCAAAAAAAAAAAATTATAAATTGTATGTGGCACATTATGGACATAATTTTTATAAAAAACAAAACAAACAACAAAAAGCTTCTCTGAATTCCAATCAGAAGACCCATACCCCAAACAAAGACCGCAGCCCTCTATCGAAACAAATAAATAGGCATCTTAAGTTGAAATAACATTTTTTTTATTTTTCTAAAGATAGGTTTCTTTTCTTTCTTTCTTTCTTTCTTTCTTTCTTTCTTTCTTTCTTTCTTTCTTTCGTTCCTTATTGGAGTGAGAAAGCACAAGCAGGGGGAGGGCCAGAGGGAGAAGGAAGAATCATACTCCCACTGAGTGCAGAGACTAATAATGCAGGGCTCCATCTCACAACCCTGAAATCCTGACCTGAACCAAAATCAAAAGTCAGGTACTTAACTGACTGAGCCGCCCAGGCACTCCAAAAATAACATGTCTTACATATGTGTGTGTGATTTTTATACCTAGAACAGCATTTTCAATTCAACCCATCAGCTCCCAATTCTATCTTTGATATGAGGGCCTTGGCTGTATTTGAAAGGCTGCCTCCTGGAAGAGGGATAGGACCTACTGAGTAAATCTTCCATGAGATTTGGCATAATAGGTCAAAATTCTAACCCAGTGTTTCTCAAAATGTAATCCATGGAACACCAACATCCAAACTATCTTGGGGATTTGCTCTCACTATAGACTGTAATCACACCCTGTACTTCCCAGCTGACAGTGTTTGAGAGGGATCTGCTTTTTATGATTCTCCTTAGCAGATTCTGATGCATGCAGTGGTGGAGAACCATGGTCTAGGAGGACAACTTTGAGTTTACTCTAAAGAAACAGCTTCTCACCCCAATAATCCAGGTGGAGGTGTTCTGGAAATGTCTGAGCAGAGGCTGGATGATGGTTGAACAGGATTGCTAGAGGAGGTTCCAGAATTTGGTGGGAGGTTAAGTTTTGTGTGATTCGTGCTTGAGCTGTAGGTTATTTTTCTCTTTTTTATCCATTAGAACCACAGATTTTCAGTGGAGAATCCAACTGTTTAGCTGCTTTCTTAGCTTTCCTAGATACTTTGCAAAGTTGCCCAAAAATTACTTAAGAGGGTTAGTTAGCAAGTCATTAAGTTTTAGACACAATTATCACCACATGGTGATGTAAAGGGCAATTTGACAGTCTTTCCATGCATTCTCTCTCCTCACAGTTGCTGAACCAGGCAGCAGAGTGGAAACTTCAGGCCAAAGTGCTGAAGGAACAAGAGACAGTCCTACAGGCTCAGGTGAAGGGGGGACAACAATGCATGGGGTGTGAAGCAAAGCTAGTCTGTACCAGGCCTCATGTGTGGCAGGGCCGGGGGGTACAGGAATTAGAAATGAACCCTAACTTCGTATTTATTATTTTAAAATAAAAAGAAAAGCACAATATTATCTCTAAGAAAAATAAATGCTCCACACAACATCCAGTCAGATGGTTTGCTGACACACAAGTGAGGGCCCTGAGATGCCAATTGGAATGAGCTGGTGTCCAGGTTCCTGCCTATCTGTTCATAAAACATCCTCTCTCTCTCCTCCCTATTACCCTACTAAAGCAAGAATAAAATGTAAACTGATCAAATGCACCATCTAGAATATCCTTGCTTATTAGATATGATTTATAACAAAAGGAAATTAGAAAAATAAAGTCAGCACCAAAGTTTTGTGCTATCAGAAGTTGGACTTGACAGTAGTTAATGACTAGAAACAACAGACAAGTAGGGAACAATTTTGATTTGGCTTTGTGATGTCATGTGTGTGTTCTGAGGAGACTGCAAGAATTCCTATTTCAGACTCAAGAATAAAAGCCTCAGGCAACAGATGATTCTATCCATCCTTTCCATGCCCCCGAGGCTCTGCCCTTCCGGCAAATGTTCCCTGTCGTGTTCCAGATGTCGTGTTCCAGATGTCGTGTTCCAACATCCCAGGGCTGAGCTATAGAGTGGTGCTAGCTCCCCCGCTGGGAGTCCCAGTGCTACAAGGACTATGAGTCCCAGAGAGCAAATAAACTCACAAAACGTGGGGAAATCACAAGCCTTCCAAGTTGGGCAGCGTTAATTTCAGATTTGCGTAATTCACTTGTAAATGTTTAAGTGCAGACTGCTATATCTTTATTCACTATAAAAAACAAAACCAGAAGTGTGTAAACCTGGCGATTCACAGACCTGTACCCCTGGGGGAAAAAATATATGTTTATAAAAAATAAAATTTAAAAAAATAAATAAATAAAAAATAAAAAAAATAAAAAAAACAAAACCAAAAAAACTTGTTCATTGCCTGAATGAACAACTTCAATGGATACTTGTTCATTTTTAAAGAGGCAAATAAGAGGTGACCTGGGTGGCTCAGTGGGTTAAAACCTCTATCTTCAGCTCAGGTCATGATCCCAGTATCCTGGGATTGAGCCCCACATCGGGCTCTCTGCTCAGTGGAGAGCTTGCTTCCTCCCCTTTCTCTCTCTCTGCCTGCCTCTCTGCCTATTTGTTATCTCTGTCTGCCAAATAAATAAATAAAATCTTTTTTTTTAAAAAAAGAGGCAAATAAGAAAAGAGGCAAAATCACAAATCTTATCACTGCAGATAAAAACACAGATAGCATTTTCATATCTAAACTTCCTAAAGCAGACTTTTCCAGTGTGTGAACTGAAAGCAATGATAATTGGTTTCCCTTAGTAATATAAAATAACCCATCAAAATCATTTTTAAATACTGATTACATAGGAATTTGAAACATGTTTCCTACTCTCAATAAAATCAAAGGATCCAGAGTTAAAAGACTCAACTCTAGAGTTACAACTCAAGCTCATCCTTTAGGTTAGTACAGAGCCACCACATCATGGTTGTGGGGTGAGTGGTAGGCAGTGGTCACTCTAACCAGAGGTGGGCAGGAGGAGAGGAGGTGTGACCTCACAGTCTTGGAGACAGTCCAGGGAATCAGGGCGGGGCTCCTGGCCCTGTCTCTGCCCCGTTCGCAACAACAGAGCCTTGAGGGGTACAATAGATGATATTTGAAGCTCTTCATTGTTCATGACAAGCAATCTCTACTCCTCTATACTAAATGGTGATAATGAACCTGAGAAGGGTAGTTTAATACCACTAGACTCTGGGCTAGAGTCATGTCTTCAGCTGGCGTCTAGGCATTTAAAGACCTGTAGAATAAAACATAAAGGTGTGATCCAATATCCCACCAATACCCCCTCAAATTCGAAAAAGCTTCTACCAGGGGTTTTAGATGTGCCCATGTTCCTCGCTTGTCCCTCAGTACTGGACTGAGTGACTGAGTGCAGAGACCAAGATCAGAGTCCTGGCTCTTCTGCTCAGAATTTGTCTGACCTTGTGCAATTCATCTGAACCTCTCTACACCTAAATTTCTTTGTCCATAAAACAAGAATACTGTAATACATCAGTGACCCCACTCTGGAGTTCTCTGACCTCTGGGAGCCTCATCAGTTTTCAGTATTTCCAAAACATAACAGCATACAAGGCATCAGCTACTGTCTAACATATAGTTGTTTTTGACATTCTATCAGCACTCCCTCAGCAGCTATGGATGGCAATTATTCACATGTTTGGTTAAGTTTATAAAAGGAAAATGGGTAAATGAATATGTAATATATGCAATTTTTTTTCAAGTTATGCATGCAAAGCACTTAGCTCCATGCCTGGCCTATAAGAAGTATAATTAATTCAACCAGTATTGATTGAGTACCCACTCAGTGCTCGGCAAGATTCTAGGTGTGGGAGTTGGACTAGTTAACTAGTCAATAAGAGAATCAAAAATCCCTACCTAATTAAATTTGCAATCTAGTGATAATGGTAATTTTAATTAAAATGCTAACAATTAGTGTATGAGCTAATACAACTATTATTTCATAGGTAAGGGTCTACATAGGGATGTATGAGACAAAAGGAGTCTGTAGGGGCAAAAAAAATTGAAGAACACCTGGAAAAGATGATCTCCAGACCCTGTCCGGCTCTAGTTCTTGAAGGCAGAGAACTTCCAGGGTTGAAGCTATGTGGCCCCAAGCTAGGTTAATCTTGACTTATCCTCTACTTTCCATCATGTGGGTTCTCTGCAAGGACCCTCCCTTGTATGTCTCTTGTCTTCAAGGCACTTTTCAAAACTCCAGTAATAACTTAATCTTTAAGAAGAATATAGAGGTCCCCAAGCCCTATGTCAAATCATGTTTAAAGTTCTTCTTGAAAAGTAGCAACATTATATTTTTAAAACCTTTAAACCTTGAGAAACAAAATCTACCACAGGTCAGTGTGCTTAGCCTTTGAACACTTCCTTTGGTTTTACAGTTTCTTTGAAGGAGCGGGGTGGTCAAAGACAAAGGTCTTAAGTCCATTGAGACCACTTCTATGGTCTGAGCAAGGGAAATAACAAGGACAGATTGTGTTTTACTAGACGAAGTCACTTTCAGCCATAAAACAACAGCTTGCCAGTTTGGGGCATGGTTTTCACTTAGGGAAGGGATGTCTGGCTCTCAATTATACAAACCAAGGCAACAGAGTAAATGTCAGTAATGATCAATGGGATGCAATTGTCACTACAAATAGAGTGTTCACTGGATCGATATGGATGAAGATGGTGGATGTGGAAAGTCAGCAATACTAATGACGCAGCCACAAAAATACCACCCAAGGGGGAAGATCACCAAGTAAATTGTTAAAGACAGTAATCATAGCCTTTAAACCCTGAAGTCCTCACCTTCTGTAGAGAGGATGAGAGGAGATTACTCTGCAACTACTATAATAACTGGACTTGTTCCCAAACCAAATCTCACAGGTTTGCTAAGATGATTCCTAGACGCGCTTCTGTTTCCTATATGCTATGAAGGTTTGTCATTAAAATTTGGTGCTCCACTAAAAAAAGGTGTGTGTTGCTCACTCACTTAAAAGTGAAAATGTTGGAGCAATTGTTGTTATTACTGACCCTAAAATGGTTTGGTTCTATTTCTGCCTCTGGCAGAAGTACCGTGGATGATCTCTGGATGTCCCTTCTATGCCTCTCTGAAATACCAAAATAAGAGCAAGCATATGACACATGAAACCAAACATGCACCATGTCAGCATAGTAGTGAGAGGGGAGGTACTACCAAGCAAACTGGCATAAAGTAAACAGGAAGTTCCCCTTTTTAGTTAGTGTAAGTAAAGAGCCTTAGAGTTGGTTACCTGAGAAAAGTATAATCCACACAGCTTTTGCCACCTACAACAAAGAGGTCAAATAGGAAGAAAAGCTGAGTATGAAAAATAGTTCTAAGAAGGGAAACGAGGACTTTAACTGTTTCATGGGTGTTTCAGTTTTGCAAGATGAAACAGTTCTGGAAATCGGTTACACAACAACGTGAATAGAAGTAACAATACTGAACTGTGCACTTAAAATAACTGAGATGGCAAATCTTATATTACATGTAATTAAAAAAGAAAGAAAGAACGTTGAGGGGGAAAAAAAAAAAAAAACAGTCCCTAGAAAAAAGCCAGGAGAAGGGGTAATGAAATGAGACACCACTTCCTGGCACTCGGGGTGTGTCTGCCTTCTCCATCCCACAAGAAAACAAGAGGAAGGGAAACAAAATCTGCCCAACGTATACACCCGAAAGAGCGTTCTGCCCAAAGGAAGGGCAGAAGCTGACCAAGCTGGGCGCAGCTGTCCCTGCTGATACTGACAAGGTTGTGCCCAGGAGGTAGACAGCACATGCGCCCACTCCTGCTCCTCCTGTGGGCGACCTGCGACTCCAGGGCTGCAAGAGTGGGTTTGGGAGGACCTGCCCAGTAGACTGGAATATCTGCCACCCTCCTGTAACTCTGCAGGAATTACTGAGCAGTGTGGAAAAGAAAAGAGAGAAAGTCAGAAAAAGAAGCCTAACAGGAGATAGGACCAAGAATGCAAAGGAACAGATTTTGCAATAGAAGGTGAAGATCATCCTGGAGTAGCTGTTCCCACCCTAGACCACTAGATCATGTGCAGTGTAGGTAGCCAGTCCCATACAAGCTTATTCTCGGATTACGGTCTTGACCTACTCGGGGCCCTGAAATCAACTCAGTGGATCCCAGCCAGTACTTTGGAAAAACAAACAAACAAACAAAACCCAGAATTGAATAGAATAGGTCAAGAATGCATTGCACATAATGAGTTAATGCGTAAGGATTGTCTTATGTGCTGTGTGTGTGTGTGTGTGTGTGTGTGTGTGTGTGTAAAACCCTGGTGTACCTTCCTGGCCATGACTTCCCTGATGCTCCTTTACTCAGGCTTCTTTAACCTGTGTGCCAAGGAATCATGAGAAACAAATTTTAGGCCACTAGAGTTGTCCTGTCACATATTCACAGAGCTAAGGTGTGATTTTAAGGTGATGGTCAGCCATTGTTTGACTTTGGAAAAATTTATCCTGTGGAGAGGTTTTATATTATCATTTCATTGTTCTTGTTTACTATGGTAAAAGCTCTGCTATTCTAAAACATTTGAGAATAAGCCATTCTAGATAAGCAGATTTTCTGGGTTCTAGGAGTAGTCCCTTACTCTCTCTACCTCTCACCCCCAAGACTGAGAACTCTCCAATCTATTGGCTTCCAGTCATTCGTTTTTTTCTGCTTTTGAAATGACAGTGTCACAAGTACCACCAGCTAGTCATCTGGTGCCCATTTGAGGAGTTGGAGCTGCTCCAGGCATCCAACAGTACCAAATACTCATTTGAAAATGCAGGCTTTACTAACATGTACCATCTATATTAAATCTCTACTCATTCAAAGCATGCTATTCTAAAATCATTTTTGAAAACAACATTTTATTATTGCATTACTGTCACTAGCAACACACTCTCCTTCCCTCCCTGCTTTATTCCTACCACAAATGCAAGCCTTGGAATAAGGATGTGGATAGAGGTACAAGGTACCACTCCCATGGTGAGCCACACACACTTGCCAACCCTAACCCATATGATGTCTAGTATTGTATGCATATTAGAAAAGGCATTCATTCCTTCCTCAAGACTCATTCTTTCCATCTGTAGAAAACTGGTATAATAAACAGATTTTGATGAAAAGGGACATTTAACTGCTATTGGCTAGAACACTGTATTCATAAACATACAAAACCAACTTGACTAAAATGTAAATGGCGGCTGCTCAGTGTGGACCAAGCTGTATAATGACAGCCACCCATCTCTGGTCCACCTTTCCTACCACTTCTTTTCATTCGTATACGTTTGCACTCTGGGTAAGTGTAAGGCTCGCCTTCTCCACAAAAACATGGCTCACATGATCACCTGCCATGTTCACTTCCTTCTTTGACTGGCACTATCCTTAATGGAGCTGGCACTTTGTATTCACTGTTCCACAGTTAAGCGGTCTTTGAGAATATCTTCCTATCAGGAGCGCAAGACTCTCAAAAACAGTAGTCACGTGTTAAATGTTTTTGTACATAGAGTCAATACGTATGTTCAGTGCTCAATAAAAGTTTGTTGATAAAAGTTATGATATAATGAAATGGCGATAACACATGTTATTTTTTTCATTTTTCCTTAAAAATGTACTTCAGTCATACTCACTGACTTAGGTTATTCTCATAGTAAATAAAAGAACTGAACATACTACTAATATTGTATCGAGAATTCCCTTAAGTCATTTTTCTTCTCAAATAATGAACAATGACATGTTGTTTTGTTCTGGAAGCATTCTGAAAGCAACCCTAAAATAGATCCACTTCTTTCCATCTTTACAGCTTACCCTCTACTCTGGAAGATTTGAAGAGTTCCAGAACACACTAACAAAAAGCAATGAGGTGTTTGCCACTTTCAAACAAGAAATGGATAAAGTGAGTATTACTTATCCCCCACAAAATCCTGACATTTTCTACTTTGACAGGCAATTCTCCTTTGGGTTTTTTTGGGTATTTTTTGGGGGGTATTTTTCTCTCATTAAGATACTTCAGTGCATTTCATAAAGTAATGAAACATTTATACATGCAAATAAGATTTAGACTGTATTTTTTATTGGTAAGTATTTTTCTGATGAATTAATCTCAGAAAGAGTCCAAAAACACTAAAATACATTTTCACTCTGAGAAAGAATATTTTCCTCTTCTAAGCCATGGAGAGCTAAAGGGTGGTGGGGGGCGGGGTGGGGAGACAAGAGCTGGCAATTTAACATTATATTGTTTATACGATTTTTTTTAATCTTATTTTTAGAGATTGAAAAAACAACTTTCATAAAAATATGCAACAGGAGAATTTTAGAATAGAAAAACCATTTCATGCAATCCTTCTTAGAAGAGAATATGTGTAGTACGTTATAATTGACAGTGCCTTGATTGAGAAGGAAGCCTGAATTCAAATTCCAGGTGTGTTGTCACTCCTCAAGTAGCACTAGACAATCCACTTAACTTCCTTCCAATTTTATTTTTCTCATCTACACATTAAGATACCATTTCCGTTTCCTATTTCACAAGATTGTGAAGTTCAAATATAAATTAATGTGCCTTTAAAGGGTTTTAAATTTTCTTATAATCTTCTACAAATATAAGGTGCTAAATATTATTATTAGACATAATGTTTAAATTTTATTCAATATAATATTTTCCCAAAATAAAATCAGTACCAGAACTGTGTTTCTTAACAGGCACTGGAATTAACTTTTTTCAAGTGCACAAAGCATCCTTTTAAAGACATTTTCTTGGGGCACCTGGGTGGCACAGTCAATTAAGCATCTGCCTTCATCTCAGATCATAATCCCAGAATCCTGGGATCAAGGCCCACATCAGGCTCTCTGTTTAGCAGGTAGTCTGCTTCTCCCTCTCCCTCTGCTCATGCTCTCTCACTCGCTCACTCTCCCTAATAAATAAATAAAATTTAAAATTTTTTTCTTAAAATTATATGATAAATTTCACAATTCAGTGAACCAACATAAATAGGTGAATACTTTTTAAAATTATAACTTATTCACTCCAGGATGGCTCTATCTGTTTTTCAAAAATCTTTTTTTTCACTCTGGAGTGTTAAGACTAGAATAAATATTAGAGTAGAAAAGTGTTTTTGCTTATTTCAAAATTATTTTTGAGATTGGAATAAATATTAAAACAGGAACTTTTAATCTGGAATTTATTTATAGACTTTTAAAGTCAACTTGAGAATTAGCACGCATGCACACACACACACACACACACACACACACAAACTGATGTGCATATTGTATTTCTTTGAATGTGGTTCCATAGATTTCATCAAATTCTTGAAGAGGTTGATGACTTTAAAAAGTATCTAAACTACTAACTTGTTAAGATGCTCAAAATTAAAAGCCATTCAAAGCTCTCCTAGCTTCTGTACAGAGCCCAGGGGCTAACAGCCTGGGCCTAGTCTCTGGCCTCCAGGCATACACAGCCTCAGACAGCATGGCACAGAGCAGCAAGTGTCCAGGTGTGGTTCATCCAGAGAAACTGCACCTGATTACATGCCTGACCTTCACTTCATCCAAGCAGAGCAGAGATCCAACAAAAAGTTTCAGGCTCAAAAAAGAGGGGCTGCATTTTATTAACTTCTGTATCTTCTATACCCAGCTCCTTACTGGTGACCAGCAGATACTCCACATATGTTGTATTAAATGGAATGGAATAACTCTAGTCCCACTCTTCTGCTAACTCACCTGAATATTCTTTCACCTCTTTGAGCCTCACTTTCCCCAGTGATCAGTGGAGGTGAAAACAGAACCTTCCTTATGACACTGTTTCAAGGATGAAGTTAATAATGCACGTAATCACATTATATGAATCCCACCACACTCTACAAATGCAAAGACAGGGAGCAGGAAGATGGTAGTGGAGTAAGAGGATCCTACGTTCGTGTCATCCTACAAACACAACTAGATAGCTATCAAACCATGCTAAATACCCCAGAAATTGACCTGAAGACTGACAGAATGAACTCTACAACTAAAAGGAAAAGAGGGCCACATCAAAGAATGTAAGAAGTACAGAGAGAGCTGTGGTCATAGAGAAGGGTGAGAGAGTGACAGAGAGGAGCACACAGGGGAATGCACAAGGAGATCATTTCCCCAAGCCATGGGCTTGGAAAATGAGAGGGGCTAAATTTTGTGAGTTCTTGCAACCAGGGGTCTTAAAGCTAGGACTTTTAAGACCAGCAGTCTTTGCTGGAGAGAAGCACACAAAAAAACCAGGGTAGACAATGTAGAAACAGCAATGTGAAGAGCACCTGGGGCACACGGTGAGGAGATTATCCACTCTTCTCAGAGTGTGTCCCTGAGGGGCAGCGTTCACTGAAACACCTCTCCAGGAACAAAGATGCTGGCCAGCACCATTTTCCTCCTTTGCCCCTCAGCATAAATGCAGAGCCACCTGCAGGAAGCAGCACAGCACAGACACCAGCCACCACAGCACACACTGGAGACCTTCCCTGAAGCACCAGGCTCTGGGCACTAAATAACCTTTGCTTTATAAGGCCCTTACTTTCAGGAGCAGAAGACATACTGGCCTTTATAACACTGAGAAGGAGACTTAGACAAAATGTGAAGATGGAGAAATTGATCCAAAATGAAAGAATAAGATGAGACCACGACCAGAGACCCAAGCAAAACAGATATAAGTAACATGCCTGATGGAGAACTTAAAGCAACAGTCATAAGAATACTCACAGGCTTGAGAAAAGAAGAGAAGACACCAGTGATATCTTCTCATCAAACCACAGAGATGAAAGAGTTTGAAAAGAATCAGAGATGAAGAATGCAATAAATGAGATTGGAAACAGGCTTGTTGCAGTGAACATCAAGCTGGAGGAAGCAGAAGGACAAATTAGTGACCTGGAAGACAAAGTAATGGAAAGTAAAGAAGCTGAACAAAAGAGAGAAAAAAGACTCATGCAACATGAGAATCAACTTAGGGAAATCAGTGACTCCATCAAACATAATAACATTTGTATTATAGGAGTCCCAGAAGAAGAAGAGAGAAAAAAGGGGACAGAAAATTTATCTGAGGAAATAATAGCTGAAAACCTCCCCAATCTGGGGAAGGAAGCAGATACCCAAATCCAAGAGACACAGAGAACTCTCATCAAAATAAACAAAAGCAGGCCAACACCAAAACACACTGTGATTATATTTGCAAAATATAATGATAAAGAAAAAAAAAATTAAAAAGCAGCAAGACAAAGTGCTTAACTTACAAAGGAAAAGCCATAAGGCTAGCTGGAGCTTTCTCAACAGAAACTTGGCAAGCCAGAAGACAGTGGCATGATACATTCAAAGTGCTAAATGGGAAAAATCTGCTCCTAAGAATATTCAATCCAGGAAGGCTATCATTCAGAATGGAAAGAGAGAAAGAGTTTCCAAGACAAACAGAAACTAAAGAAGTTCATGACCCCTAAACCAGCTCTGCAAGAAATATTAAAGGTAACTCTTTGAGTCCAAAGGTGAGACCTGAAGTGAGAGTATAAAGGCGAGAAACACAAAAGCAGTAAAAATGAGTATTTCCATAAAAATCAACTGAGGAACTCTCACTAAAAAGGTATAAAATATAATAACATATATCTAAAATGTAAGAAGGACAGGAGAAAAGAATGAGTTCAATGCTAAATGACCAACATCTTAATATAGACTGCTATTTGCAGAAGAGGTTATATATGAACCTAATGGTAATCATCATATATCAAAAATCATTAATAGGGCGCCTGGGTGGCTCAGTGGGTTAAGCCTCTGCCTTCGGCTCAGGTCATGATCTCAGGGTCTGGGATCGAGGCCCGCATCAGGCTCTCTGCTCAGTGGGGGAGTCTGTTTCCCCCTCTCTCTCTGCCTGCCTCTCTGCCTACCTGTGACACCTCTCTCTCTCTCTCTCAAATAAATAAATAAAATCTTTTTTAAAAAATCACTAATAAAATGCAAAGAACAAAGAGAAAGAAATCCAAATATATCACTAAAGAAAATCAGCAAAACATGAAAGAGAGAGACAACAAAGGATCAGAGAAGATCTCCAGAAACAACCACAAAGCAAGTAACGAAATGGCAAAAATACATATCTATCAATAATTTCTTTGAATGTAAATGGACCTAAATGCTCCAATCAAAAGACACAGGAGTCAGAATGGATTAAAAAAACAAGACCCATCTATCTTCTGCCTACGAGAGACTCATTTTAGACCTAAAACACCTGCATATTGAAAGTGAGGGGGTGGAGAAATATTTATCATGCAAATGGATGTCAAAAGAAAGCTGGAGTAACAAAAGTTGTATCAGACCAACTAGACTATAAAACAAAGACTGTAACAAGAAAAAAAAAAAGAAGGGCTCTATATAAATAATAAATGGGACAATCCAACAAGAAGATATAATAATTGTAAATATTTATACACTCAACATAAAATCACACAAATATATAAAACAACTCATAACAAACATAAAGGAACTAATCAATAATAATACAAAAAAAGTAGGGGACTTTAGGTTACGTCAATGCACAGATCATCTGAACAGAAAACATACAAGGAAACAGTGGCTTTGAATGAAACACTACACCAGATGGACTTAACAGATATATTCAGAACATTCCATCCTAAAACAGCAGAATATATATTCTTTCCAAGTGCACGTGGAACATTCTCCAGAATAGAGCACATATTAGATCATAAAATAGGCCTCAATAAATACAAAAAGACTGAAGTCATTCCGTGCACCTTTTCTGACCACAGTGCTATGAAGTCAAATACAAGAAAAAATTTGGAAAGACCATAAGTACATAGACATTAAACAGCAGTCTACTAAACAATGAATGGGTCAACCCGGAAATCAAAGAAGAAATTTCAAAATACATGGAAA